TTCTTCTGGGGGAATTCCTCCCCCCCCAAAGTCTGTTACTGTCATACTTTTGATTAGATATTGTTTAGAAGTTTAAGATTTTTCTGAAAATGAATATGGTTTGATACCCGAGGTAGAGCCAGAGGCCTAAATCCAGTTGGTAGTTTTAACCAAAGGAGACCAGCTGAGTAAAATTTTGAATGACAAGTGTTGCTGGAGTGGATGATGGACTAGAGCTCAGGAGACCTGGATTCAAATCCTTGCTTGACTATGCAAACTCACGGTGTGTGTGTGTGTGGCGAGGATAAACCATGTTGGGGTTTCTACAACCCTGCATGCTGCTCTTAGTAGCTTTGGCCAGGAGGGACCATTCTGGGCTGTCAATCTAACCAACACTAACCAATTGTTTCATTCCTGTATCTGAATTCAAAGAGAGCCCCACCTCTCTCTGCTCAGTGCCTTTTCCCTCTCTTTAATCTGTTGAAGTTTGCTGCTGAATAACAGTCATCTTTGTTAATTTGCTGTTTGATATTTTTTTTAATTGTTAAGTAATGACACCTTTTATTCCTTCTTCTACTAAAGTCTCAGAGTGAGTTATTGAGACTATAAGTGCCAGTTGATGAGAAAAAGGGGTGGACTATTCTAGGGAACTCGAAGCTAATCTGCTCTGTGAATCCTTGCACTTCTGAAGCACGGCTAGAGGACTTTAACCGAAAATCAAAACTTTGCAATAAACCATCTTGCTTGTATTAAAAAAAACATACCAACCCTCTCTTGCTTCTCACATGTATTTGCCTGGCTGCTATCCAGAACATAATTTCATTAACTTCTCTGTTTTCCTTGCTGACAGTTTAAAAAGTGGCCTAGCTTAGATCTGATCCAGCCACTCCCCCATATGTTCTGGCCGCTGGAAAGTTCTGCTGCTTTCATACAAATCATCACATTAATGTTGGTTGCAAATTAGAAACACCAGCCCCACCATGGCTCATGCACATAATGGCAAGCTGTAATTTGTCATTATGACTCGATGAAGCTTTTGAGTGCATCAGAGTCTGGTGAGAGCGATGGATGGATAATCAGGACGAGTGATTAAAAACTGAGAAAACAATCAGATATAATTTTACTCAACACTGAAGTTGATTGTTAAATCAGCAGCTTCCCAAAGAATATGGCTATTGATCATGACCTGTTCACTTGCAAGTCAAACTATCTGGCAAATTAGAAAGTCCATAAAATCTTTAGATAATATTATCTAACTAAATAGTTGTGGGTTATAATTAAGCTGGGGGTTAGGGACTAGACCTTTAACACCCATTTTAAATAATATAAATTTCACTCAGTATTCAGAATTCTCCCACCCCCACCAACCCGAATTAAAATGCATGCATTCTTAATTTGTAGAGAGAGAAAAATGTTAATCTCCACTTGGATGCTGTTTTCCATATGGCAGCTGTTCATTAATAGCTGTCAATTTGACTAATAGACATTTTGTAAGTGAAGCTAAATGGACATGTCGTAAATGAATCCTGGCTAGACCACATGTTGCCTCCATAGTTATGGCCCAGAATTATGGATGAATGGAAATAAATTAATTACTGGACCGTATAAATGTATTTGTCACTTACGGCTGAGTGAACCATTTTTAACCGTGCATGGGAGTAGTAAATAAGTGCAAAGGGGAAGCAGGAGTGACATTTATAATGATGGAGCTTGTTTGGAGTAGACCAATTCAAAGGTAGATTTAGGAACAGCAAAAACTGCCTTATCCTCCATGAGTCATTACATGAGACTTGTATAAATCAGAGCAGTATCATCTTCTTTCTAGGGCAGTGGTTCCCAAGCTTGGGGAATTCAGGTAATTTTGGACTTCAACTCCCATAAACCCCTGCCAGCGCAGGGAGTTGCAGTCAAAGAAACATCTGGGTTACCCAAGGTAGGGAACTACCTTTCTAGGGTGTCTGGCAATTTCCCCACCTAAGCTTGAACGTTTTGATTAGAGATTTCATTCATTCATTCATTCATTCATTCATTCATTCATTCATTGAATCATAGAAAGGTGAAGTTGGAAGGGGCCTACAAGGCCATCGTCCAACCCCCTGCTCAATGCAGGGATACCATCAAAGCTTATCTGCCAGGTGCTTATCTAAGTTTCTCTTGAATGCCTCCAGGGTTGGAGTGCTCACCAACTCCTGAGGTAACTGTTTCCGCTGTCTTACTGCTTTAACAGTTAGGAAGTTTTTCCTGATATTCAACCGAAATCTGGCTTCCTTTAACTTGAGCCCATTGTTGCGTGTCCTCCACTCTCGAAGATCAGACCAAGGGCAGGCAGGCTCTTATGACCTGCAGTCAAACCACTGCCAAATGATGTGTGTGTGTGTGTGTGTGGGGGGGTAACAGACACAGAGTATGATGAATATTTTCATAACTTAATAGTGAATTGAGTTCCCAATGTGTAAATTCTGGTCCAGGTAGCTGCTCTTGACCACGCAAGAGAATGAAAAAGATAGGGGTGTTTCTGAGCAGATCTAAAGGGTGATGAAACGGAACCCTGAAACCTAGGGTGAGCATTTGATAGCCTCCCATTCCCTGACGTTTGAGGCCCAAAGACCTAGAGAATGGACTTCAAAACTTGAATCTCAGGGGCAGTGCATGAGGCCTGGCAACCTTCAGTCCACCCTGAACAGTCACGCCCCCCCCCAAAAAAATGTCCTTTCCCAGGGCTGCAAGATCTGCATTGGGAGATTTTTATATCCCGGTACGCAGCTGCAAACTTGCTAAAATTCTAAGATCGTATTTCACAGCAACTGTAATTACAACCTAGAAGGTTATGCCTGTGTTTCTTTAGTTAATGAGTCTAATTTTCTTTTAAGGGCTGGTTTTAGTCTTTCATTCTTTTCTTGAGTCTTCCCACTCCAACTGGAAAGAGTGGCCACACCTGGAGGCAAATTCAATTAATGGTCGACGGAACATACATTTACGCTCATAATTTACTTTTCTTTTTTCCTAATTAATTCATTGATTACTACAGCCACCGCCTGCACTAATTTGCACAGTGTATTAAGCACTGGCTACTTGCAACACTAGTTCTTCTAGAAGCAACGGAGACTTTTTCACATGCACATGGAGATCCAGATGCAAATCACCTCACATCTGGTTCTAGGGAGCTAAAGAGATTTTAAATTGCCATTCCTGGAAAAATGCATCTAGGGGCCACATAGCAATTGCCTTCTGAGCTGGAGAATCTTGCTGGAGATAATGGGAGAGGTACTCCAACATATTTGGAAGCTATTAAAGGAAACTGATATTTCCAGAGAGTGCCCCCTTGTTTTGCTGCAGAGGTTAGACACACAATGGTCTCTCTCTCTCTCTCACACACACACACACACGTACACACACGTACACATATTTTGAATTATGAAGAAATTCCAGCCCCATATAAAAATATTCCTTTTCCCTCCACCCTTTATAAACAAAGATTGACTATTCAGAGATGGAAAGAGACACACACACACACACACACACACACACACACATTTTGAATTATGAAGAAACTCCAGCCCCATATAAAAATATTCCTTTTCCCTCCACCCTTTATAAACAAAGATTGACTATTCAGAGATGGAAAGAGAGACTAAATTTTGAGGTTCTGATATTGGCAAGTCATTAGGGTGTTGTCAAAACGAGAGCAGCTCTCCAAGGAAGAAAAAAGTATGCTGATTTCCTGTCAAAATATAATGATTTCCATCAAGTTTCATACTGTAGCTTTTGACTCAGAAGAAAATAAACTCCAAGTGAAAAACAAGGGGGGGAAATGAATACAGACTCATGCGAAATAACACTGATCACCTCAAGGAATCTGGAAATCTGGCATGTTATTTCATCAACAAATGCATGAGGATTCCTCCCCCCCCCACTTCCTCCCCTTCACTAAAAGCCATGTCAATAATAGCATTTGTTTGCCTCCATTAATGCTTTTCGTATGTCTTGTTTATATCTAACCAACTCAAGTCAATGGCTAAAATCCAGCGATAAGTCACAACCAGAGGAGGCTCATTGAATCAGGGGGATTCAGTGAGTCAACATCTTTGTAAGTTCCATTGATTCAATGGGCCTACTTCAGCTGTGGCTTACTACCCGATTTCAGGAATTGAGACTTTATAATGAGAAAGGCACCTTTCTTGATAGACTGTAATGATTTTCGCTGGATATACTTATAAGTTATGTGGAGCAAACATATATATATATTCAGAAAACCAGGAACAGTTTTTTAAAAGAGAGTTTGCTGTGTGTCTTGGTAAAATGAGATAACCCTCTAAATTTTAGCTTCACCCATTTTTAACCCTGACCTTAAGATTATTTAAGCCTGATCTTGAATGGTTTCTTACAAGGGCTCTACAAGATGTCATATGTATTTCCATGTGTATTCTCTAGCATAAACAAGGATTGTGTACACATTATTCCGCATGTATGAATTTTGGCCAATAATTCTCTAACAAAATAAGAAAATCAAGATCAGAATAAAGAAAATGTTCCCAGAGACATCATACCAAAAACCAATCAATAAAACAGACAGACAGACGGTGAAGCAAACTGTATGGGAAGCTTATCTATGCCTTAAGGAAGTGAGTCGAGAAGAGAGAAAAATCTCTACTGAGAAAGTGCTAAAACTTAGGTACAGGTAGGTGGTAGACACACACACACACACAGAGGGAGAGACCTCTTTCTGTCACTCCTGATCTATTACTAGTCAAACCCATATATATTATACATCTACAGCTAGCAAATACAAGTCGAGTTAGATATTTATTTACAGCTTGAATTATTAAAATTCTCTATTCATGTTTTCATAGGACCATAGTCATCAGTGTGGGAAATCGGCGGGTTACTTAGAAAAAGGGGTAATTTTAAAAACGTTAAGCATTGATCCACACCTCACCTTCTTTAAAGAACACCCACGTGATAGATTTCAGGATCATATTTGATACTACCTGGTCATGTTGCCTTTTAGAATAAATATTTACCTCTTTCTTGGTGAATTCTGGGGCATGATCATTTTTATCGTCGACAATTATTGTTGCTGTCGCTGTGCCCGTTAATCCAACATCCAGGCCGGCCATGTCCTTTGCTTCTATGATTAGTTCATACTTTGGGCTTTCCATGGTCTGCAGAGATAGAAAAAGAACAGGTGTCCAGTGAGCAATTAAACCAACTCAGTTGCAAGCATCAAAGTGGTTTCAGAAAGATCAGTTGCTACCTGAGAGGCGCCTCAGATGGATCAATGGGATTTGTTTCCACTGAAGCAATAAAATAAAATAAAATAAAAAATAAAGCTAAAATGGCAATAATTCTCCTTAGAAAATCATAGGGAAGATGGAAGAGTAAGCACAGGAATTTGTGGTGAGAGGCTGCACAGTAGTTGAGCATCAAAGTGGTTTCAGAAAGATCAGTTGCTACCTGAGAGGCGCCTCAGATGGATCAATGGGATTTGTTTCCACTGAAGCAATAAAATAAAATAAAATAAAAAATAAAGCTAAAATGGCAATAATTCTCCTTAGAAAATCATAAGGAAGATGGAAGAGTGAGCACAGGAATTTGTGGTGAGAGGCTGCACAGTAGCTGTTAAAAAGGTAAAGTTAAAGGTTCTCCTTGACATTTAGTCCAGTCGTGTCTGACTCTATGGAACGGCGCTCATCCGCGTCTCCAAGCCGTAGAGCCAGCGGTTGTCCGTAGACAGTTTCCATGGTCACATGGCTGGTGCAACGACACAGAATGCCGTTACTTTCCCACCAAAGCGGTCCCTATTTATTTACTCGCTTTCAAACTGCTAGGTTGGCAAGGAGCTGGGACAAAGTGACGAGAGCTCACTCCGTCGCATGGACTCGATCTTACGACTGCTGGCCTTCTGACCTTGCAGCACAGAGGCTTCTGCAGTTTAAGCAACAGCACCACCATATCCATTACAGTAGCTGTTAAGTGTCGTCAAATCATAGCAGTTTAACCCACAGCACCACCATGTCCATTACAGTAGCTGTTAAGTGCCATCAAATCACATCCAACTCATGACAACCCTATGAATGAGCAATCTGCAAAAATATATATATATATATCTTCAACAGCCCAGCTCAGCTCTGGCAAACTTGAAACTCATGACAACCCTATGAATGAGCAATCTGCAAAAAAATTATCTTCAACAGCCCAGCTCAGCTCTTGTAAACTTGAGCCTATGGCTTCCTTTAGTCAGTCAATCCATCTTGCATTCGGTCTTCTTCTTTCCCTAGTAATATTAGCATAATTCCCATTCAGAGTATGAACTACTAAAACATTTATTGTGTAAATTAAAACAATATATACTTTCAGACCAGGAGGGGAGTGACTCTCTCTTGCCTCTTGACAATGTATTCTAAGCAGAATTTTGGAAGATCCAGTTGAAAAGTAATCCCTTACAGTTATGAAATAATTATCAGTAATAATAATTGATTAATAAAAATTAATATAAATAATTAAATAATTGCTTTACTTACTATTGGGAAACAGTATTATTCCAAGCTCACCCCATTTTCTTTGTTAACACTGTAGTTACATTTTTTTTAAAAAAAAGACAACACCTTACTGCCTTGTTTTTCAATTTTAAATAAAATAATTATTTAATTTCCTTTAAAAAATGAAAACATGTTGGGTTTTTTTTTATGGTCTAAATTGGATTTAATTTTTTAAATTGAAAATTTATTTAGTACCTTGTTAGTATCTTAATTTATGGTGCTGTTTTATTGAACCTCTTTTAAAACCTATGTTCTAAGGATGGAGGGATGAATGAACAAATGAAGGAATAAATGCTGGAAGCGGCTGCCTTTGGTAGAAACCCACTCTTTTCTCATCCACCTCAACATCTCAGCATTCACCACAGAGCACAAATCAAAGGTATGGCATTTGAACCATGTGCTTTCCTTCCTCCTCAATTTTATCAGTGCACACACATTTATCTGTGAAAGTAACTCAAACATTGTAATAACACTGGAAAAGCCATTATGTTATCACTCTTTCAGGGATGTCTTTGTTGTTGCAAACGAAGGGGAAATTTGCAAGAAAAATGTGTTATTTCTCATGAGTTCCCACCAAGCTCTCCAGCAAAGCCAAAGGCCCTTAATTATTGGGGGGGGGGATGTCAGTCTGCAAGAAGCAGGGGGAAAGAACAACCCACCAAGAAACAAATGCCTTCATGGAGATCCAACAGGAAGCTCTATTTTCCAAACTTTTCATCAAAGGAGACCCTCAATTAAGCTTGATAGAGTAACCGTGGACATTGCAGCTCTTTTTCAAGGGAGACATTCAAAGGCTGAATGGCAAGAGGTGAAAGGAAATATCACTGTGGCAAGATGCATCTTATTAATTCTTGCACCTCAATGAGATGCAATTTGCCATCAAGAGATACATAATTTCCATTAAAACACATGCAAATTGGCAAGAGGATTCTGGCCTGTCAGTCTTGGTTCGTTTGCAGAGACTACGCCGAGCATTCCATACTGAGATATAGAATCAACGGTGGACTGCCACTGCTGGAAACACAACGCTGGCTGTAACCAAGTATGTATCAGTGTCGCCTTTGGGGAAAGAGGTGCTGCCATGTAGCAAACAGCCGACAGGACGGCATGGATCATTTTGTCGAGGTTTTAATGGGAAAGCCATCAATACTTCTGTGCCTACAGCAGGACATGCAGACTAAGAGACACTGCATTTTTTAAAAGTCTGGTCACAGAAACCTAGAAACAACAGTATATAGAAAATGGTGAATGTTCTTAGCTTAGAGTGTGGATCTTAACTATACTAGAAACGTAGTTTAAGCATCCTTCGGTCTTGAGAGACTATGCTAACGTTCTCTAAATAGAAATCTTGGAACAGGGTCTAGTGTGGCTGAGAAGGCCAATTCGAGAGTGACAATCCCTTCCACACTGAAGACAAATACAGTCCAGCTCCCTGATTTTGCTGGTTTCGGGACTGCCTCTTTGCCTCAGCCTGCTGGACAAGTTTGTCTCTTCAAACTGGGAGAGGTCATGCTGCACCACTTGCTTCCAGGCTGAGCGCTCAGATGTCAAGGTTTCCCATCTGTTGAGGTCCATTCCTAAGGCCTTCAGATCCTGCTTGCAGATCACCTTGTATTGCAGTGGTGGTCTCTCTTTTGGGTGCTTTCCCTGCAATAATTCTCCATACAGGAAATCTTTTGGAATCCGACCATCAGCTATTCTCACGACATGCCAAAGCCATAGTAGACGTCTCTGTTTCAGTAATGTATACTGTACATGCTAAAAATTCCAGCTCTTTCTAGGACTATTCTATTTGGAACTTTGTCCTGCCAAGTGATACCAAAAATGCGTCTGAGACAATGCATATGGAACGTGTTCAGCTTCCTCTCCTGCCGTGCACAAAGGGTGCAGGACTCACTGCAGTACAGGAGTGTGCTCAGGACCACAGCCTCTATAGACCTAGAAACGTGTACTCAGGACACAGGCTCTATAGATCTCTAGAGCCTCTATAGACCACAGCCACTATAGACCTAGAAATTATGTTGAAAATAATTAAAGGTGATTTTTCCCTCTCTGTATTGCTGTTTTTGCAGACTGGTCTATTGGAAGACCTTATGCTAATGATGAAGCATGCAGATGGCAAAGAATAAGCTGCCACGTGTGATATTTTACCCATCATCAACAGTGGTTCTTGCAAATATACAAGAATGATGTATAAGAGTCTTTTCAAAGTGATTTCATTTTCGAATCAGGAGTTCTAACAACTCCAATGGAGAGCAATGTCATGTCTCAATACTTTGGTGCAGATTTCGTAAAGAAAATCAAATCAAGACATGATGAGAAAGCTCTTGATGTTTACCATGGAATTGAGGTTTCACATGGCAGAGAACAAAGAAAAATTAGAATCCAGATTTCCTGTAGCCATTCTTATGTGCAACCTTTTAACCTCTCTTTTTTAAAGCACCAGACCATCTGTCTGTTCAGCTAATATTTTAAGTTTTAAACTTCCATGCCCTTCTTCCTTCTCAAGAGTGAAAGATGAATGTGCACAAACAACAGGGGGAAAAAAAGCTACAGAATAGGGCCTGCCCAGGTGTTCTTGGACTACAATTCCCAGAAGTCAGTTGTGCTGACTAAGACCTCTTCCAGCAACATCTGGGGCCCCAAAAGGGTGGGAACCCCCTGTTATAGAACCTGTAAGGCATGGCGACCCAAGTTGAAACACAGAACAAGTGAGATGCTGATGGGGAAAGCAACCATATGTATGATTCTGATGACAGATTTCTCTGTTTTTAACTGACGCTGCTTCAGTGGCAACAAAGCAGTTTCTCCAGTGGGCTAGGAATTTACCACAGGAGCGCATAAAATATCTGAGATCATTTATATTTAAGGACCTGAGATATATATTAGCAATAAACAACCACCATCATCTTAGAATTGCAGAGATGTAAGGGACGCTATTGATCATGTCAAGGAGGCCCATTGGGGAACCGAACTCCCAACCTCTAGCTCCACAGCCAGAGACCTAAACCACTGTGCTATCCAGCAATTCCTTGTTGAAATAACATTTACAATATTAAAAAGTCCACCCAATAACTACTAAGGGGGCATGCAATTCTTTGGCTGGAGGATGCGGTCCTACTGCATTAAGCATTGGGGGCAGGAGCTGACTAATTTGGGCTAGATAGATTGCAGGCCCAGATACCTAAACCACTGATCTAGCCAGCAATTCTATACATGTAAATAGTCTTGAAACATATGTACTGCTATTAGACTTACACAATCTCTCAATCTCTCTCTTTTTTACACACACACACACACACACACACACACAGAGAGAGAGAGAGAGAGAGAGAGAGAGAGAGAGAGAGCATTTCTTCTGGTAAGTGGTCACAGTAATTCTTTGGCTGGAGGATGTGGTCCTACTGCATTAAGCAGTGGGGGCAGGAGTTGACTAATTTGGGCTAGATAGATTGCAGGCCTGTAGTCCTCCTTGGACTGCGATTCCCATTAGCCCTTGTCAGCACAGTCAAGGTGAAGGAATGTCTGGAGCTGCAGAGCAACAACAACAGAACAATCATACCTGGGCTACCTCTGGTCTAAATGAACTTCCAGGTCTCCTGCCAGCGTATAAGGCCTCACCT